TGCACTGTGTAATGGATATGTTGTGCTTCCATAGTATCAGTATCTCCTGTACTAATTGTCGCTGACAATCGCCAGAGTGGTGTGGAGTGCGCTGTGTGGGGCTCAGGCGTCACCGCATTGAACTATTAATTGAACACACTCGACAAATTGACCTTGGCCTTGGCACGGGTTGCCGAATCAGCCGAGGTCACCCACGATTGAGAGCGTCCGGATCACACGGCCTGTATGTCATGCTTGCTCATTCGTGGTAATAATACTCTGCCACACACTGATATTTCTATAGGACACTAATAAATAAAGTAATAAACTTTTCTTCATTCATTTCTGATCTTTAGTACCTACTATAATGTTACGACTATTTTGTAAAACAGAATAGGAATTTAGTTGCAGGATAAAAATAATTAATTTGCGACGGAAAGTATAAATAGTTATAACGTATTTTTGTATATACCTGTTTCAATAATTCGTTTCGATTTTGACATATCAGAGCTAAAGATAAATTAATAAAATGCAAATGAAGTAGCCACATATAAAAATGTTTTTGGTCATACATAATGGAACAGTGATGGGGTGAAGATGGTAGTGGCGCGGGCGCAGTGTCGTCGACAACGACGACGCAACAGCCAGCCCGGGGTAATTGACTCATACTGACCTCGTACTGCTTCGGAAAAACTCGCCACAACTCGGAACTCTTCGCCAATCGACACCGCTATTACCATTATTTCAATGTATAAAGAATTTATTGTTTCGGACATGAAACCGTAGATTTCTCGTCTAAAAATTAGTCATTTCGGTAATATAGCATATCTAAACTTTTAAAATTAGTTTTCTACGAAATATAATTATCCTAAACCTGTTCATAAAAGGTGTTATGCTTATGTATAAGAATTAAATAACAATGTATAATCGGCACCGGTAGGTGCCGGTAGGTAGCTGACATTTTTGGACTACCTACACATAAAAAATCTGTAAATAGGTATATTTACAGATTTTAAATAGGTATAAACCTGTAAATAGGTATATTTACAGATTTTTTATGTGTAGGTAGTCCAAAAATGTCAGCTTATTATTATGAAAATGTCATATTAATAGAAAACATAATAGCAATAATTTCTAATTCATTAAACTGTCAAACACCAAGCGGTCACCGGTGACCGCGACCTATTGTTCTTTAATTGTGTCTATAAAACCGGTACTCGACGAGTTAACTAGCAAACATATGTAGCGCTACTGGTCTTAAATACCTAACAAGATTACTTAGTGATCAGGTACTTTATCATCAAAACATTTTTATAAAGAAGCATACTCGGCGATCAAATACGGGGTTTACAATAACAATCAGTCTGGCGGTGGGATCGTGTTTCCGACGCGCATCGGGTGTAATCGCCGTCTCAGCGAGGCCTTGACCGCGTACTGTTCGCAGGAAACATTCGGACCACTCCGACTCGACCGAATTGCCAACGATGCTCCTCGTGACTTCGCAGAACTTTAAAACGAATCCAGGCCGCCAGCATCCGATTACAATAATAATATTGCGCCGTAACTTTTCCACTTTGTTTTTAAATTTAATATGGGCATACTGAATATAACTTAAGCATCTATTATGACTTTAAAATTTTCAGATAAATACCATATTCTGATATCAACCACACTATAGTTTATTCCTGTATCTTGCAAGTGTCACTTGATACGTATGAATTGACAATTTTACTTATCATGACTTATTCAAATGTACATTATGTTGATGGATCATATTTCACGGTTTGCCCTTGCGGTTGTCAGTTGTGAAAGGGATCACTGATCACATTCTTTGAAAGTTGTTAAACTAATTTATGAGTGGGATAATGGATGCGGTGTAAATAAAGTGCGAAGTCCCGTTTGTCAGGAGGCTGGGCAGGCACGCTCGCTTTTGTCCTTGTGTCCTTCGGCCAGTGAGGGAAGGCCGACCGGCTGGCCCCATGGTTATTGTTGCCTTCTATTTTGTTAAACGACGATTTCTACAGGTAAGCTAATCATCACATATTTTATGGAGTACCGTGTTATTCCCGTACAAAATATAAATCCCCATGTGGTCTTTACTTACACCAATTATTATTATTTAACAAGCTCAGTAATTTCTCAGTTTTAACATTAAAAGGTTTAATACTTTATTACAAGTTTTTATAATATTTGCAAGCCATCATAAAAAAGTAATCCGGAAAAACAAAAAAAGAGAAACCCTAAATTGCAAACAATATGGTATACGGCCTACTTTTTATTATTTCGTTAAAAAATGGCCGATCAATCACGATCATCAAGCCTCATCGACTGCGGTCACAATGAACAATACAAAACTATACATGTGGCTACCGACTGACGATATCGGCTTCGAGTTTTTTCGTTCGGAGTGACAAACGAATATAAACCATAATTTTAAGTTGTTAGGGTTGGTAACGTTTTGAATAGTTTTTTGTAAAGTTGGCTACGAAATTTGATATTCGCACCCTGATATTAAAAGTGAGGGCAGCGGAAGGAAGTAAAAAACTGGGTTCCTATTCACTTTCACGTTTTAATCGACACACATGTCGCTGTTTTTTTATTATTTACCTTGTGTGTTAAGGGGATCATGGGACATAAATGTTGACTTGTCTTTAAAACAAATAGCATTGATGACCCAAAGTTAGGCATAATGTACAATGATTTAAATACCTGTAGAAATTACTTTTCTGATCGGTAGGTAATTTGAATGAGAAAACTATAAGTCCGTCTTAATGTGTGCGATTGGATAGAAAATGTAGGTAAATAGGGATATAAACATCACAAGTTTTTATTCAATATCCACTCAACAATAAAATATAGAGGATATACTTATTTGCAAAACCCTTTTAAAGGTGTGCATTGTGCAAAAGGGAAAGTTTAGAAGCAAAACTAAAACATGTAAAAAATATGAACACCTTTTGCTGATATTGATGAATGATGGCAAACATATAAACCCTTCTGTTTGATAGACAATGTTCTCAAAGGCTTAAATATCTATATACAAACTGGTTACTATGAGATAACGAACATTTTTATTTAACACCAAGTCTAATCATGTAAAGAATTATAAGGAAAATGTTACAACACATCTTTAATAGATAAATATCTAATCTGTCATATGTAACACTATCACATATACGTGGAAATGGAATAGTGTGTCTATATTATAATGATATTTAGAGCACAATGTTTATTTCCTGAAATACATAAGTAACCTACAATATGACACTATAAATATCAAGTTAAAAAATATACGTCTATCTATTCATTGTACAACTATTTGTATCGGTGTCTAGAATGTCGGTGTGCCAATTTTTAAACTACTCAGTGTCATACTGTGTTTTATAAAATTGAAAACGAACAGAATTTAGATTCATTTTGTAACAGCAATAGATGTCAGTCGGCATAAATTTCGCTAGAAGAAATTTCGAGAGAAAAAAGTATAGTAGTCCAGTGTCAGTAGGCTGTGTGGATGAGCGCCTGCGCGCCGCGTGCCAGTGGCCTTGACCGGCCTGCGCCAAAATTTCCAGGTCGTTCACCCGCCGCGACGCCCACCGCCACTCGTTTTATCTCGCGTAAATAACTACTCGCACAGCCGAATAAACACCTAATGAACCTTTACATAAGGTCGCTTATTTCACTATCGCAACAATTGTAACGTCAGTGTTATATAAAGTCGTGTTTATGTACCTATTGTTAAAAGAAACTTGTTTATCAATTACAAGAAGGTGGTTATACGTATTATGTAGAGTTACACAAAGTTCCTTGTTATTATGTAGATATCTACCTAGTTCTTATTAATCATCCTCACGTTAGTAGTACTAGTACTGTGTCGTCCGAGCTTTAGGTTAGTGCTTTTACATTTCTGTTGGATGACATGTCACGTGCCACAGACAGGCAGGCATACTCGAGGCCATTTCAATTTTATTTTGCAACAATATGTAGTGTGCGAACTAGTGATTCTAAACTATGCTTACGTTAGTACTTATTATTTTACTAATGCATAAAGTGGACAGATACGTATATTAATATTTATACATAGGTAATTAATACGATTCCTAAGTAAGTTTCTAAGTAGTTAGGTACATGTTACAGAACCATCAGACTGTAACGGTCTATAGGTCATCCCAAAAGTATTGTTGTAATTATAGATAAAATCCCGGAAGTGTTTGGTCAAAGGGAAGCAGGCAAGCAGGGCGATGCGGCAGCGGGTCAGTCCGTCACGCGGCGACCTACACCGCGCTCGACATCCATTAGCTCGATTTCGTGTTCAAGTTCACTCGCGTTCCATCACCAAAAATATTTTCGTAGTGTGACGCAACCGGCAGCGGCTACGTCCCACTCGAACGCTCGGCTAGTCTCTCTGTCGGTGCCGCTCTCGCGCGACCTTGGCCGCGGTGAGCCACAAGGTTCGGGTCTTCGAACTCGCGCTGGAGCGCGGGCCGCGGGGAGCGGAGCCGTCAGCCCTCCAATCGCTCGCCGCGCACGTCTGAACGTGCTCGTGATTGGTCCTCCGTTGGCGCGGCAATGACCTCGGAGACCGGAGTTCGAAGCGCGCCGATCCTCGCTGCGAAGCGTAGAACTACAGGCTTAGCCAACCTATAGAGGTGAATTTCGCTTAGCCGAGTACGCTTCGTCGTCGAAGCGATTGTATCGCACGGAGCGCTGATCTTTTTGCAGACTTTCACTCTTAAGGGGAGACTCGCACGGCTTCGAGCAGGAGCGCGCGCGGCACTCGCTCAGTTCGTCGATCGAGCTCGAGTGAGACGCACGCGGCGCGTGCAGCGGCTATATCGCGGGACGAGCGACCTTCATCCCTCGACGTGCCGGCCGCGCGCCTCGGCCCATGCACTCCTGTCCTATATTCAGTGTTACAGCGCGCAGGACGTTTTAATGTCTCAAGCCAGCGGGCTCCATGTGGTTTACGTGTAGTGCAGTGTGGGGGAGGACCAAATAATTAGTTTTAAGAACAAACAATATAAATGACTTTAGTGATGTCTCCTGACAGCAGCTACGGGCGCTACGATGCGCCTACGCCGGCTGAACATAATTTGATGAGTCCGGTGCACAAGGAACGGGAGCCTGAGTTGCATATAGGTAGTGCATTTGATACAAACATTTTGCTTGTTTATTTACATTATAACATAGTTCTGTCGTAACTGTGTTGTAATACTTGTAATACTTGTGTTGTCATGTTAATCTTTGTTGTAAATAATTTTGTTATTGTTTATCAACACGTTCATTCAGTTCGTTATTAGTGTCAATTTAGTTTTATCTTACTAGGTCTTTTAATTGAAGTAGATTGATTATTGAATTTCCAATTTGTTATACAATGAGTTTACATTGGTACTACAATGGCAATTATTACCACCAAGATGTTACCACATACGTTAATTAAATGTTGGTACTTATTAAAGTACTTGCTTAAAGTATGTATATTGACTCAAGTTCAAGTTCTCATAACATCCATCTGAAATGAAATCTAACATCTACGTCCAAGAAAGATTTAATAAAATTATTTGATAATATTTGTACTGAAATAAATTATTTTTAATTAGGTTTTTATGCTGTAAACTTCATTGGAAATGAAATGTTATTGGTATTTTTTTAAACACATAGGTTCTTTTAAACATGATCGTAAAACTGGCAATACACAACAGTATTTCATGCTAGATTAATTACGACTTCTCAAATTCTGATTAATGATATATTCTGAAACGATGAAAGGGTACAAAGCTAGCAAAATACTAAATTATTTTTAAGCTAACGTCAAATCGTTTGCAGAACGAATATTTGATGGATGAATTGTTGAACATTTGTACCAGGAAGGGCTGGAGAAAAACAATTAAAATTGCTTTGTGCAATAACGCACTGTACAACAATGTCAATCGTTTTCTAAGTATAAACGGTGGGGTAGCAACTCAAGTGACTGCGGGAGCTCTCCAATATTTGCAATCGATTCCTAATGATCTTATCGCTCTTTATCGATCGCTTTTGTGACTTTTTCCCATGTAAAATCAAACTTAATAACAATGAAGCAACCGTTACTTCTTCTTCAGGCTTCAATGCCAACCCTTTCAATTACTAAATTAATGATTCCTTATTTTTTTTCTATTTTTCTCATGCTGTAAGAATTTAGTAATATCAAGTAATAGGTGCGCGTGAGCAGGTTCTACGCGACTGGAGACAACAACTGCCTTGCCACGCCACTTTTACTTTTCTCTGAATGCGTGTAACACAACATTACTCGCACATTTATGATAATAGTCGCTGCAGCACGTAATACCACACTACCCACCATATTGACATGTATCTGTGGATGCGTTTTCAAACATGAACTAGCAATAACATTGAAACCACTGTTATGAAGATAAAACAAACGTGTTAATAACAAGGAAATAAAGTATAAAATGTGATTTTGGTCGTCGTCAAGCAGTAATTATTTACAAACAAACATCGCCGTGACACAGATCCGCAGCGGTCGGATCGCCGCGTCAGTATTTTGCACGCTCGGCCGGCATTCGCGTTACGTGGACGAGAGACTTTCTCGCGCACTTTCCTCGCCTTTTAATTGACGTAACGAACGACCGACTCTCACACACGCCACCCAGAAAAACGCGCGCGTTGCATCATACGAGGAGAAATGGCTGCACGCTACTGCCTCTGTTGCAACTGCACCAGTTACGTCTCACGTTGCTTTCCCTGTTCTATTGTGCTCCCCACTCAGCGGCACAGTTGCCACCATGCATAGCTGATACTGTAACGAGAGATGAGACCGAAATTATTGCGGCGAGGGCGACTATACCGCCTCTAGAAAAAGAAAGTAACAACTATAGAAAGCGACGGCGTCGAACGTCGACCCGCGTCGAGTGGTGTGCGCCAGAAATAGAAAGTTTCTTCCAAAAGGCGAGCTCGCTCCCTTAACAAATAAACAAATGGCTGGAAGAAGAAAGTGAGAGCAGTCCGGGGCGCCGGCTGAACCAGTTCCTGGTCGGGCTACGGGGCTACCGCCCGCGCGCCCGCTACCGCTCCGCCCGGCTCTCGCACACCTGTTGTTGCCGAGGGCTGACTATCGATGACCTATTAACCATTATTACTAACATCGTTAAACAGTCTCAGATTTGTATTTACACGACGATAACAATTCGGTATTAATTATTTATACCATTAACTTATTGGATAATAATGTTGTAGGAACATGTTACAATTGACCTATTTAACTAAATATTACATAGTGTAGATAAGTGGTCACTATCTAAAGTTAGTTGTTTTTGTTAACATTTTTTATGACGAAGATGGGGTCATCGACTCTGTAGAGACTTTCTAAAAAGTCTATTAAGTGTCTGTCACCTTGAGGCACGCAATATTGTGAGTTGCAAATTGCAATACGATACATCATACTTCTTCGTATGAGTATTCAGACAATCAATGCAGTTTTTATACTTGGTATTGTATTATTCAATGCCTCAAAGACGACACAAAGCATACACGCGTTTGGTTTTTTACTCTTCTAAAACAGTATTATGCATTTTCACACAAATCAGAAGGCAGTAAAATGCTTGCAAAGTCTGTTATCGTGAGGTAATGTTATGAGTTGAAACGAAAGCCAAGCTAGTAATCACGCGATCCCGCCTCACGTGTACTGCAACTGATGAAATCAACACACCGCGCTGCATCTGCATCTCTCCACACTCTGCAACTATCCTATGCATATCTTCTCCTGTTTCATCCTATGCTAAATTATTTCGAAACTGAAATTGGACTTTTATAACCCAGTTGATTGATCAATAGGTAAGCAAATATCACATTTAGGACAATAAAAAAATTACGTGTTCCAACACACATATTGACCAAAATATCCGTTGACCAGAAATCAGCGAGTAATTATTCACACACGTACTAAAGTGGCACAAAGCACAAGGTCACGTGCAGTCGCGGCAATGTTTGTTACACACGCCCGTCTTGTAACACAACTCAGGATGTTTGGCACGAGCTAACTAACGCTGTAATCTTTGAAACGTCCATAAAATTTATCGCACATTACGTATACAGGTCTCTATAATAGTCTTCTGTGTTTTGTTGCAGAGTTTGACGGTACGACGGTGCTGTGCCGCGTATGCGGTGATAAAGCTAGTGGATTTCATTATGGCGTTCATTCCTGTGAAGGTTGCAAGGTAATTATCTCAAAATTATGTAAACAATACTGAATATCAATTTATGTCGTCGTTATCAACATGCTCACTAGCACCATTGTCGATTTAATTCTGTACACTGACTGCCACCACTAATACGTCAGAAAAATAAAATAACAAAAGATGTCAGAGACGCCTTTATTTTGATATTATATGGTAAATTGAGTACCGCATACCAGTATGCGGGTAGTCTGGGCATCTGAAGTAGGAAGTGTGTACGGGTGACACGTCGAGGAGAGCGCCCTCCCCGCGCGCGAGTTGTCTCTGCAGCAGGTGCGAGTTAGCAGCAGCATTCAGCACCAAGGTCGCGACACGCGGAACACAATCTCTGAACACTCACCGCACTAACTCCAACCAGATGACCTTATTTACTTACTAAATGTTAATGTAATTCACTTCCACGGCGCCCGAAGATTGTTTATGAACTAATCAGAAAAAAGTAACGTGTGAACTTGTATTAGGAATGGTTTTTGGGTCAACGGGTACGTACCTGCTGGCCTCGGTCGGGCGACGCGGACGGTCAGACCCCTGCGCCCCAATTCTAAACATTTTATTTTCAATACCTGCGTCGGGACAATCACACGGGAACCGGGTGTTGCTTTTAAACTTTAGATAAATAATGAAATAATAAGCATTGGTAAATAATGAGTGGTGGACTGGTACAATCACTAATAAGGTTAAAGTATTACCAATTTACGTCTCATTATAATTATGTATAAAGCTTGTCAATATAAAGTAATATCCGTCGTAACATCCATCCGTACTGTTAGCTGTAAACGTTATGTATGCAGCATATGACTCGTCATTCCTTGCACTGACTGACGACCCTTGATTGTAAACACTTAAGGGAGTACTCGAGACGCATGGAAACATCCTTTTTAAGTGAATGACCCATGATAGCTTTTTAGTTTGTCGTCTATTCATGTCATACCATATTATACTGCGGCAGGTTTCACTATTGCCTTAATACGTAAATTATAGTCCAGTAAACAGAACGACGCGCGACGTAAAAAATAAGGAAATTAGAATATCAATAACTCACGCACTCACGCATAATAATTGTAAATTGTTAATAAATTGACGAATTAAGAGAAACGTAATTATCACGTACTAACACTAAAGGTTATTGTTAGTGAAAGCAGAGAATTACGTGACCGGTGAGCGTTCAAGATCAACATAATTACTTCCTCAAACATATCGTACAGCCTTCGTTAAGAATATGATTTCCATTTATCTAAAAGATTTTGTATGTACTAGAAGTTTGAGTCTATAAAGTTGATGTGAAATTGAGGAAGGAGATAGGGATAGAAGTGCAAGTGTAGTATAAACTGGTTTGATCAGGTTCAGGTGGGACAGGATCGGGACAAAACATGTCCTTCAGTGCTACGGGTGACTACGGAATTGTGTAGCGTACTGCGCACAACCAAAGCACTTTCAAAATTACTATAAACAACTGTAGAACTAGGGTACATATATATGCCTATAGGTACATTCCCTAAATCTCTAATTGCTTGTTATAAATTACGATTTTTTGTTGGAATAAAATTTAAATCTTACAAAATCTTGAACCTCCTTTTAGTTTCGCCGAATTCGAGTAAAAAAAGCCATAAATGTTATTGTTTAAAAATATTTTTAAAATTGTCTCAATGTTCAAATAAAGGCAGCAATAATAATATTTATCATTATTAATTTCACAATACGTAAACAGTTTTACGTAATCATTTTGGTTCTACAATAACCACCAAAAGCGCTAGCTAGCGGTGTGATTGCGCAACTGATATAAAAGGTTCGGCTACTCGCCACTAGATGTCGTGGCGCTCGGAGCGCCACAGTGCTGCCGCCAGTTTATGTTGTGGCTACGAACGGAAACTAAATGAATGAATGACGACGAGTGAGCGTGTAATTTTTATAACGATATGAGGTGCGGGTGTTCGACCGTACGCACTGAAGTCAACGAACTCAATGTTACTATTCACTTTTTCAAATCAACATAATATCAATTATTTATTATTGATGATCCATGTCCGCACTGCATCTATAACATGCTTGTGTTTATTTACGAGTAATTTTAAAAATTTCATTGTAACACAATAGTATGTTTATTTGTAGGATTATAACTATCCAACTAATGTCCGCTATAATAATCTTATGTGTCAATTAAAGACCTCATTCCTAAAAATATTTTTTAAATAAAATTAAGTCATGAAATGAATTGTTGTAAAATTTGGAGCGCTATGTTGCTACGTCGGAAGAGCTCACCGACTTCTTTGTTCTCGTCGTTGGCCGACATAATTTCCGTGCGTTGTGGGTCGCTTATTTTTTTCGGCACCAATTCCGCGGTGTAGGGCGAGCGGCCGTCGACCTCGCAAGCTAGCATTGCGCGCCCGAAGCTGCGTACATTCGCGCCGCCTCTTCTCGTCGTAAACAACTTTTACGGGCATCGAATGTACGCGCAACGTGAACGTAACCCACATTATTTTTGAACTGTCAGCTTATAAGTTCGTTGATCCCCAAGCAGTCATATTATTTATTGAGAACATCGCGCGTTGACTGTTGCGTTTACGTTTATTATTTCCTGTTCATATAGCATCAAACCTCTATCTAGTGATGAACTCATTCTTAATGCCTAACTCAAATAAATATTGTAGCTAAACAACAACTATTTATTACATTATTTATATTTTATATTATACATATTATCAGTATTGTCAATAGCTACATTAACAACTTGTTTTCATGTTTCAATTTGAAATATTACCGAACAATTTAGTTTATGTGCTATATTTTATTTATTATTAAACATTAAATACACGAATAGACTCGAAACTATTTAGATTAAGTAAATTGTAGAATTCAAACAATTTACATTATGCAGAATTGTATAGAATTTCCCTCAAAACATTTATAAGGAAAATTCTATACAATTCCGTGATCTTATCTCTCATTGTATAGATTTTTGCAGTTTAGTTGAGTCACCAACTTTGCACCTCACCCACATTTTAGTGCCTTTAACATTTACTATGGACATGTTGCAATTGGAATAGCAAGTTACTTATAAGAGTTACGTTAGTTACTAAGAATAAAACTGCGATACACGAACGGGAAATGAATCACAATGACGTGAGTCACACACACGTACGTTATCAAGTAAACATCTGCGACCCGCCAGGCACGTAAAGCGGACTTTTAGCAGGCGGTCAGCAGTCGCTTCCTCGGAAATATAGCGATGAAATGCGTCAGCATGTTTTGAGCTTAAGCCGGTGTTAACGGAGTCGTTGTCCGCTGCACCGTTAGCTGGCGTCACAGTACGCGGTAACATCACGGTGTTCTCGCATAAGTCGCAGAATTTGTCATTGCCATCACCTAGCAACTCTAGTATAAATGATTAAATATGTATCATGTATGTATAAATACAAAATACACGGCTTGCACTGCACAAATCAAATTCAAAGCGGAACTCAAACCATATACACCCATTTATAACTATTCATAACTATTCATGGTTATATCTCTCGTTAAATGACTCACTAAAATTTTTATCAATAAACGAAAAAAACTCCGTCACTTATAGTAAATAAATTCATTAAAGCAACACCAACCAAAATCCTATCACTATTTACTGCAATCAACTTATAAATTCAGAACATATTACTGAGATTTTACAACCAAAAAAAAGTTAAGAAATACACAATTTACGACACCAATTCATTTATGAACGTGCATGTTTCTATAAGTAGTAACGCTGACAAATAAATTTGAATCATTACGTTATCAAAGTGACCTAAAATAATCGGACTACTTACGCGTTCAATGTAATTTACTGAGTACCGGACTACCGGACACATGTATAGAACAAATATTTTTTAGGACTCAAAAGGGAGTCACCGTGTTAATTACTTAGCGGTCGTTGGCATTAAGATTATTCAATTTAAAAGAAAGACGTCCTACTTAGATAACAATACAACTGAAAACAATTCGTTACAAGATCTAATATAATTGATGACTGCTGGTCGTAGCTATTTTAGTCTATACGTAATATAGTTTACAAACTTAATTAAACATTCTTCATGGTAGATCGTTACGACACAAGTATTATTTTTTTTGAAGTTTAAGATGAACGCGAGTGCCTATGCAATCTCATAGTATAGTTCAGTGAATCGGGTGGAGAAGGTTTTGTTTTCGAGGCAGGAGGTCAATGACCGCACGGCCGGTCACTGCCCGCGCTGCGACCAATTATGGGCCACTCGCACAGCGCACAATGGATCGATGGCAGCGCGAAATTAGGCCACCGACCCGAACACCGCGCGGCCCGCTTATGCCAATTCCGTGCCCGCACCAGCCTCCGCGCTCGCTAGCGCTACCTTCATTACAAGACATTATAAAATAATTATAAAAACATTCCTAAATACAGATAATACTAGAGACAGATAGATAATACTAATACAGAGGCCAATTATAAATAACTTTTCAAGTACTTTAACAGAAAATTTTTATCTTAAGTTTGAAAATGTTACTTAAATTAAGAAAATATGTACATTTTTACATGTATCTTGTAATATACAAATATTTCAAATACTAAATAATGAACAATATTTGTCAAAAACAGTCATAGTTGTAAAAATAAATAATAAACATTTACATAAACCGATGACATATGAGTGACGACAGAAGTCTGATACATTAACATTGGGAACGTAACTCTTATGATAACATACACTAGTGCATTGTGGTGTAATGGTCCATTAATTAAATTGGATCAGTGCAGCCCCTAGGGAAGCGCGCGCGCATTGAGGTAGGCCGTGACGCATGCTTGACGTCATCGGGCGTAGAGCCGGTCGTCGACCCAATCGGGCTGCAGCCCAGCTCCCGGGCGCGAGGGGCATGCGGGGAAGACTCCGCGGTTGTGCAATCGAGCGGTCGACGACCCGGGGTGAACGGCCGCGCGCCGCGACGCCACCGGGATGCGCCCGGCCTATATCCGGCGCACCGGTGCAGCGGCGGCGACGCATTCTAGAGCGGCGTGGACCGTTAGGAGCGCGCGAGGGGGCCGGGGGCACTCTCACTTTCTCGGGTGGGTCGGCGGCCGGCAAGTAGGTCGCGCGGGTAACTGTGCGCCGCGCCACGCAGCGCCCGCACAGTCCGCTGTCGACCGCCATCCGTGTCGGTGCAGTGCGCGAAAGCTTTATTGCACGTACACATCGCGTCATTGTTAGCGAAGAGAGTGGTGGTGTTAGTGGGCAGTCGGTGGTAGTGAATGGTGCGTAACATGTCGTGTGGCGCGGGCGCTGAATTGCGCGAGCGGCACTCGGTGCTAGTGAGCATGCTGGAAGGGCGCCGCGAGTCCAGTGACTCGGGATGCTCCAGTGATGACGGCTCCGACAACGAGCAAGACTCTAACTGCCGCTGTGATTCCCAGGGCTTCTTCAGGCGGTCCATCCAACAGAAGATTCAATACAGACCCTGTACAAAAAATCAACAGTGCTCCATACTTAGGATCAACAGAAATCGGTGTCAATATTGCCGATTGAAAAAATGCATCGCAGTTGGCATGAGCAGAGATGGTAAGTTGAAATACCTATTTGTTTTTATTATTTTAATGAAAATATTGGGATAAACAAACAAAAAATGTTTAGAAACATTAAACATTAACGTTCATGATATACTTATACTTTAAAATATTTAAAATTATTGCAATATTTTCATCAATTTATGTGTCCTACATTCTTAATTTCTTATACTTGAATTTTAGAAACGAATGTAATGTAAAAATATATACATCTTTCTTAAAAATGAATATCTTGAATGATGACCAGATGATATCGTTGTGACATATCGGTCAACATACGCTGGGATGCAATATGCATGCGAAATTGGCAGCGGGAAGGTCGTGCGTGCGCTCGCCTTGTAGTCGCCAAGTATGCCGCACGAGCACGCTGCCGTGCAGCGCGCGCGTGCTGTTCTGCGGACAGATCCTATTTCGCGAACGGCGCGGGGACGCGGGGCGTGGGGCACAACTCGCAGTGTGGGAGGTCGGTTATGCAAGCGCGGGTGAGCGCACGCTAAGCGGGTCGACGCCCGCGCTATACATTGCCGCCCCGCTCCACTCGTTGCGACACTCGCTCACATCGGCGACGCTGAGCGCCGCCTGCTTTGCCGGTGAAAGCAGAGAAAGTCACATTTCGTAAGAGCGAGAGTGAAATTTATATTTTCACTTTCGTTATGAAGTTCGACGACCTCACTTAGTTGCACCATACAGGTTATAACCAAATGCATAACAATTTAATGTAACTATCAATGGTAACATGATTGATAACATACATATACTATATCTTACAGGAAAATCTTATCTTTCTATATTTCATGTAAACAATATAGTTTCCTATTATATCAACAACCAAACAATAAAAAAGAACCCAACATAATAAATTAAATATATACCTTAATGGATATAGCAGAATACTATTTTAATTAAAAATTAATAAGAAAAACTAAAGAAAGTCTGAATTTCGTTTTATATCTATGGTACATTAGTAACAGTAGTTCAGCTACTCGATAACAGATGGCGCGTGTGAGGCTACCTACAGTAGCGCCAATACATTTTTGCGAGAACTAAGAGTGGTTGAAAATGTTATTTAGTTTTCATTTTGAAAATGACATTTGTGTAGTACTAAAATTATTAATAATTATTAATTAAAATATTAATTACTAAAATTACAATGAAATACTTTAAATCTTCTTAATTGGAAAACAATACCCTTCCGTCAGTCGGGTAAAAAGTAGTTGTTACAAAAATACTAATAATAATTATTTGTACAATAATAAAAGTAATCGATACCGGAAATCATTTACTAGGCTTTAATCTAAATCAGTGCCCATTTTTCAGAAAACTTGCATCTTATGCAATAAGTATAAAATACAATAGGACAGATAAAAGTCCTGTAAATAAATAAAGATTTAAAAAAAAGTATAAAATATTGTTTTATGGGGTAGCTCATGATAAATTATTAGACTGATCTGCAATTGATAACAAGATGTAACCTTAATGGTTACTTCTTATCTAATTGAAAAATCTCAAAAAGTCACTTTAAAGTGTGTCACAAAACATAAACACGTGCGCAATATGTTCTATAAATTTGACTTTTATTAGTCAAGAGTTTGAATTTGGAAAGCGACCGTAATATTCCCATGTCACGTCAAATCAGCAAGGCTCAAACGGTAGGTGGCGCAAGTGATGGAGAGAGGGGACGGGTGGCGCGGGGGCAGGGGCCTGCGCGGAGTTTATTGACGGCGCCCCCCTCCCGCGCGCCGCGCTCCCCCCTCGTCAAGTTCAAGGTTGGCTCGGCGCGCGCCGCGGCGCAGTGCGAGGGAGTCCGGCCCGCGCACCGGTCGTCAGCCCTCATTGCTATCGCTATGTTATTAAGTCGCTCCGCAGTTCGGTACGAGAACGCGATACTTGCTCACGGTGACTGCTCCAGTATACCCCGCTGACTACATCGCGGTGCGCCGAACTACAACTTTGGATTATAACGGCTACACATTGGATTACAGTGAATGTGCAAATTATTAAATATTGTAATATTTTAAAAGTGATATGTGACACTTAACTATCGTGCATTAATTGAAATTAGTCATAAACTTAACGTAAAGTTACCAATTCATCTTAAGTTATCAGTGGCCATTGGCTGTGAACTAGTAATAGTGAAAAACTATAATGGTTTCCGACATGGGAGAAGATTTACCAATTCTCAAAGGAATCCTCAACGGGGTTGTGAAATATCACAATGCACGTAGGTATCTTTTATATACAGATATTATTCAAGCAACAAATTATTTATCCTTGTGTTAGATTTTTTTATCAATGCATATTTATCCATATTCAGCAGGTATAGAAAATCTTGTAGCAATCGACTACGCGTGCTACGCTTTTCGTAGCAAACATTTAAGTTTGAGTTTTACGTTGTTTTTTAGGTTTACTGTAGTATATGTTACTTAAGTAAAGATGATTTCTTTCATAATCATTTTTCAACTATAAATAACATATTTACTACATGCAATAAATGATTATACAACTTTATATTGTGGTAATTGATCATTTAATATTTTCTATAGCAAATGAAAGTTAAACTTAATAAAACTTACAGGATAAATCTAATGTTCCAACGCGTAACTAGAAAATAGTTCTGTATTGATGAAAAACATAAAAAATTTAATACATCTTTATTGATATTATGCAAATAGTATCGAAACTTCAGGTTAATGAAATAGATTTCATATAACGACATATATAATACCATTTACAAACTCCAACATAGAATAAAAATAAAATCAATGTTGTTGGTCGTGAACAATGAGATCGTGCATCTGGTGCGGCCCACATCGCGCAGCGAAAGTCAGGAGAAATGGCGAGAGGGCGCTCTCCGCTTTCGTTTTCAACCGTGCGGCGTGCACGCAAACACTTTCACCGACGTGCGCGCATGAACGCCGCAAGCGCCGCTCGCGCCCCTGGCGGATACTACATTTTGGTTCAAGCGTGCCTAGCACGAGAAAGTCGTAACACTTTTTAGCGTGACCTCGCATTTCGCGCTTTGTCACTCGTCATTCGAACTAGTTCACTTAACCGAGACGCATTCAGGGTTCCCCTCAGATTTTACAAAAGCTTACCGCGCCAGACAAGGGTGGGTCGCGCGATGCGACGGCCGATGAACTCTACCCTCGCGGCGTCAGCTGCGCGTGCACATGGCCCGCCATGCACCCGCACACGCGCGCACTTAACGACAGCTGCAGCCCAGCGTATGTTTAGTCACGACCTTGCGCAACATTCCCGTTGTTAGTTACCAGTTCATTGCAAGCCCGCTTTTTAATTCGAGCTCTGGAGGTCACTGACGGTTTTTGCATAAATTAAACTTGGTTTTCTTTGTTACAGCCGTGCGGTTCGGACGTGTTCCCAAACGGGAGAAAGCACGCATCCTTGCGGCGATGCAACAGTCGTCGACGTCGCGAGCAAACGAGCAGGCAGCGGCTGCAGAGCTAGATGATGCCCCTCGATTACTAGCGCGCGTGGTGCGTGCTCACCTAGACACCTGCGAGTTCACGCGAGAACGCGTTGCCGCAATGCGTGCACGCGCTCGCGATTGTCCCAACTACTCGCTACCCACTATGGTGAGTATCTTTATCCCTCAACACGACGAGAGTAAAGATAACTAATCTTTTTAAACTCTGTAATTACTTGAACATAAGAAATACCTAACGTATTTTTTTCATTGTTTTAGGCCTGCCCCTTAAATCCGGCACCAGAGCTACAGTCTGAGAAGGAATTCTCTCAGAGATTTGCACACGTAATTCGTGGTGTAATAGACTTCGCTGGACTAATTCCCGGTTTCCAGCTGCTCACCCAGGACGACAAGTTTACGCTGCTCAAAAGTGGACTATTTGATGCGTTATTTGTGCGGCTTATCTGTATGTTCGATGCGCCACTTGATAGTATAATTTGTCTAAATGGTCAAGTCATGAAACGGGACAGTATTCAAAATGGCGCCAATGCACGGTTCCTTGTGGATTCAACTTTCAAATTTGCCGAGCGCATGAACTCAATGAACTTAACTGACGCAGAAATCGGCCTCTTCTGTGCTATAGTGCTTATCACTCCGGACAGACCCGGACTACGTAACGTAGAACTTGTGGAAAGGATGCATGCGAGACTCAAGGCATGCCTGCAAACGGTGATCGCCCAAAGCAGACCAGACCGACCTGGCTTCCTTAGAGAATTAATGGACACCCTTCCTGATCTCCGCACTCTTAGCACACTACACACGGAAAAACTAGTAGTATTCCGAACTGAACACAAGGAATTACTGCGGCAGCAGATGTTGACTGATGAAGAAGGAGTGATGTCTTGGGGTGACTCCGTTGCCGATGAGTCGGCTCGTAGCCCCATCGGTTCAGTGTCAAGCAGTGAGTCCGGTGAAGCCATCGGCGACTGCGGTACGCCTCTGCTGGCCGCCACATTGGCTGGCCGCAGGCGACTTGACTCCCGAGGATCCGTAGACGAGGAGGCACTCGGCGTGGCACATCTCGCTCACAATGGTCTTACTGTAACAGCAGTTCGCCCGCCACCTCGCTACCGCAAATTAGATTCACCAACTGATTCTGGTATAGAATCAGGAAATGAAAAGCACGAAAGGATAGTGGGCCCTGGATCCGGCTGCTCAAGCCCGAGATCTTCTCTAGAGGAACACTCAGATGACAGGCGGCCACCTCCATCTGCCGACGACATGCCTGTGCTCAAACGTGTGTTGGAAGCTCCACCGCTGTACCACACGACATCGCTAATGGACGAGGCGTACAAGCCGCACAAGAAATTCCGTGCGATGCGCCGTGACACAGGAGAGGCTGAGGCCCGCGTAGTGCGGCCAGCGCCATCTGCGCAGCCACCACAGCACCCGCACCCTGCCAGCCCAGCGCACCCTGCGCACTCGCCTCGCCCCCTGCGAGCCTCGCTGTCCTCCACGCACTCTGTGCTGGCCAAGAGCCTGATGGAGGGGCCACGCATGACCCCCGAGCAGCTGAAACGCACCGACATCATCCAACAGTACATGCGGCGCGGTGAGGCGGTCGCGGAAAGCTGCCCAATGCGCACCGGTGGCCTGCTAACATGCTACCGCGGCGCGTCGCCAGCGCCTCAGCCTGTGATGTCTCTACAAGTTGATGTATCGGACGCTGATGCGCCCCTGAACCTGTCCAAGAAGTCGCCCTCGCCGCCGCGCTCTTTCATGCCGCAGATGTTGGAGGCGTGAGACCGGCCCGCGGAGCCAATTGTCTCCGCCACCCCACCCCGACCTACTTTAAATTAAATAATCTAGTTAATAGTAATCGTTCGCAGATCGTTTTAATATATTATATGTGATAATTTGATTAGGAAGCGTGAGTGCGTGGCCGGCGCCGGTCGAGGAGAGGACACGCAATAGACTGACAAATAATTTAAGACTATATAAGTGTAATTTATAAATGCAATGCAGCGCCGGTCGCGGTGTGTTTGTTGTGTGTAATGTATGTGCGTATGTGAGCGTGCTCAGTCATTTGTTTGTTAATATAATGACAGGTTGTCGAACTAAAATAAAAGAATCTTGTAAAAATTACCTATGTATTTCATTCCAAACCCAATAATCAGCAAGAAATAGAATGTTATATAAATGTGAAAAGCCATAATGATAAACAACAAAGTCTCTATACAACTGAAAACCCTTTAAAATAATAGATGAGACACTATGCGCATAAAGATAATTAAATATGAAAGTTCTTGAAACGTTTGTGAATTACTCTATACATGGCTCAGTATTAATTACAAACCTTTCTCTCAGGTGTCAAGCTTTTTGTCTCAGTGTATCAACAATAACAATGACCACATATTATACAAATGTATCTCTCCTCACTTTTAGGATACATGCTGCTATATAATGGGCAACCAACCAAAGTAAATACACGAAAACAGTACACAATCAAGAAAGAATATATTAGGATTCAATGTAACTTCGAAACATTAAGTGTAAAGTGAGTCCAGCGCTGTTCATGAGAATAGTTACTACACATATTAAAATTAGTCAAAACACCAGCATTATCACGCGACCAACCAAGTCACCCTGCCAATCTAAGTATTGTACACATGCGGTTTCCCTGTGTGCATAAGTTGACCTGACCCTACGGAAATATCTAAACACGTTTGGGTACATTACTCAAAGTGCCAGTTATACAGAGAAGGCCGCAGCGGTTGTCGACCCAAAGCGGATCGTTTCCGCATTTGACTACCGCTTCTTCTGTTAAGGTTGCGGAACAACGTCCGCATATTCAAGGCACCAGCCATTAATATCATATAAAACTAATCTTTTCACATAAATAAACGAATGGAAAAATATTCTGCACAAAACTATTCCGGTTCTTTAAGTTAGTCGATATTCGAGATGGAGCAGATGATAATATGCTTTTGCTGATTTCCTTTAAACACTCGGAACTACAAATGGTCTAGTATAGATAGTTCCGCTCTCCTAGTAGTCAAGATCATCTGAACTGCAAAATAGCATAAAACCTTACTTTTACTTGTAAACTATGTATTTCATAAACTACAACCTTCTAGGTCTTCAGAATTAGTAAAATACATTGTTCTCTTTGTTCTACACTAGACATAAGGCATACTGATGTAAGTAGGGGAAACTAAGACAATCAATCTCATAATATATCTTTTAATCATTATACCTCAATCAGTTACATGCTGTATGAGTAAGCCGTTATATGTAATAATTAATTAGTATAATTAGTATGGTATCGTAACTTTGTTATATTGTCTAAACTGAACACTTGAATAATAAAAATATACGTAAACTACGTAGTTTACGTATCATTATTCAAGTGTAGATACGTATCTACGTAAGCGAATATTAATTTCTAAATATACCTGCATAAATATATTTGTTTTACCCAGATCTAAGTAGCCCAGAAATCATAATCAAGACGTCCTCAATCTTTGGCTAGACAAACGACTTTCCTCAGTAATGATAATGATTTCCATTGTGATAACAAAGAATCATACCGCCCTAGCCTCTTTTTGTATGTTGATAAGCATATTTATTCACATTACTCATGTTGTGATACGACTGCTTAGTAGCTACGTAAAGTTATTGTGAATAATGATAAGTGCGTAGTTATAAGATGAATGTCATCGGGTGGGTCCGCAATTTCCTTTTACGGCATGAAATGTAGCAGGACATCCGAGGTAACCGATGTTATTGACCGGTCGGTGGTCGTCAGGCGCATGACATTTGGCGCGGGTGCACCGGCGCAGTGCGCGGCCGTGCACTTGACTCGCGCGGGTAGGATGCAACGTCCGCCCGAGCTCTGCCACGCGTAACCCCGGCCCTACCTCACACCCCAGCCGCCCCAGCCGCACCTCTCCCAGCATCGCAGGCTCCACGTCAACAGCTATCTATATAATCCTTTACCGCCATCTTGTTCCTGGAAATTATTGCACCAGAAATTTCCATGCAAGCTTCTACCTGCGTATCGATTTAACACTGGGATGATTTATAGAGGCGCAGAATTTTGGTAAGCTTTTATATGTATAGAGGTACATTTAAATTCACGACCACGTGTTAGGCAGAAATTCCTTCACTTCCTGTTGTTGTGATCAAAACAGATGAAGATAATAAGTTTTATTTCTAGGAAATGCTTTTAAAATGTCTGATTATTTTACTACTTCAGCTATCGGTTACAAACACACATTTATAATTATTATCAGTTACAGACTTAAATGATTAATCAATGACACATGTACTTATGATTTCAGACAGCAGTTATCAGACCTAAAGGGAAGTATCTTTGTAGTATGTTTCACAAAGCTGTGAATCCTGTAGAGATGCCATAATTACGAATGCAATGTTTGTGTGTGTTACCATTATATCACTGTTACATTGAGTGACACAAATAAACGAGCTCGTTGTTCCTTGAACATTGTTATACATAGAGTAGGTATTTGTTGTACTGTAAATAGTCAATGTCAGAGACCTTCAGGCGGTAGGTATACGGAAAACCCCGAATAAGGCTACCCGCGACCTTGTGCCGACAAGGTCGAACCCGGGCTGGGCCTCGATTCACGCGGAAACAGGACACTTACATATTTACATCTATTTACGTTCATTATATTGTTAATATTGTCTAGATATTCGGACACATCGCCGAGCGCCACTCACATATAATACTGAAAACAACTATAATACATAGTGAAAACTCTGAAGCAAGTTACAAGAAACGTTTTTTTACATTCAGTGAAAAATATTTTTACCGAACAATTGGTTGACTGAGTGTTAGACTTTGAAAATTGAATTAGGAATTGTAATAAATATTACATATTATTTCCGCGCTCGTTACATGAGCCCTTGCACCGAAATATAGGTAGGTATTAAATTTTGCACGAGGTGTAGAGCGTGGGCGGCCAGGAGATAGGGGCGAGGGGCGAGCGTGGGCGAGCGGGTGGCTGCCACCCCCTGCGGGGCACGAGGGGCGCGCGGGGCGCGGGCGGTCGGCTCCAAGGTCGCAGAGTCACAGCCGGGCAAGGTCGGCGTGCCCGCGCGTGCCCGACCGCCCCGCACCTCTCCCCTCACACCCGATAACTCCCTAGATTTGCGTGGGACGTGACCTTTATCCACGTTCCGGAGAAATAATTATATAAATACTTAATGTTTTTTTTGGTTATGTATATAGGTACGCAATACCTATGTCATATGTGGAAAATGATTTTTAAAGGGTAAGTGATAAGGAACATCCCGGCACATAACAAGTAACAACTAAATGTCAACTGTTGATCTCGGTTCACCCTCGTGAAAGGGGGTTCGGGTCACGTTAAGCTGGCTAGTGGTGATCGCAGAACGTGTGACGTAACTGTAGGTACGAAGTATAAAGGACTACATGACTGAATCATCACTCACAGCCTGGGGTAGTGGAGCCCTGAGATTTAAGGTCTACGTTCAAAGGGCAATGTGAACTATAATCTATATTTCAAAGTTTTTAGAAGGATTCTATAATCACATGAGGTCCAATCAAATATAACGATAATGGATATTCATAAATTCTTATTACAATTAAATCTCTATTGAGATAAGATAAAATAGATAATAATATTAATCGCAAAAACGATGTATGAAATAGGTATTTTAAATTCTTTTCTTATAGCATACATTTATTTACCTAACGGAGAACTGCTTAATAGTATAGAAAATAGTTAATGCATGTTGGTACATGTATGGATTTTAATTAGGTAGATATTCTAAAGGTCTGCGGGTTCCATCATAACTCTCGAGAACATAAGCTTCCACGCCATTTATAGACTCCTGGTGGGCGGTTGGAGAGTGAGCAAAGGGCAAATGTCGTGCAGATAGTTTCATAATGAAAATTGCGATACCTGCCACGTGCAAGCTTCAGCACAGGATGTGGGAGAGATTAATTCAATTTATTTATTATTGTAGTTTACGCCGACGCCTGCTTAAGCACGTAAATATCCCGTTTATTCCGTTATCGTTAAAATATCGAAAAATCCTCTACCTTTACCTTCTGCATATTATTTTGACACCACTAACAAAAGGTGAAGGAAAACATCGTGAAAAATCTTTCACTTATAATTTCTAATTAGACGTTTGAAATCGTCAACCCGCAATAAGCTAGCGTGGTGATTAATGCTCAAACCTCCTCAATGTGAGAAGAGGCTTCGCACAGTAGTGGGCATTATAAGCTGTTGATGTTACATTCTGCAATGGGTGTTTAATTTAGTTCTGCATTATCTGTCAGTAATGGAAGAACATACTGATGATGATAAAGGTAATTAGCAAATCGTTGTCTTTTGAATATAAAAATTGTTTGAATAGATACTTATATTATAACCGTTAATATTTTGTTAAATTGTGGTAGGTATTTGTTTCTTAAAATTCTTTTCAATTACAATTTCAATGTGTTAATTTTTTTTATTAATTTAGTTTATTTTAATTTATAAATAAAAAGAATTAAATAAATAAACAAAATAAAAAATAACAAAAAATATATAAATAATGATATTAGAACTATCGAATTTGTACTAAAACCTCAACAAATGTAGAAGAGATATTTAATTATGGCATGTGCGCCATCATAGTAATGTAATGCCCCATGGTTTAAATATTTAGTAGGTACGTTCTTTAATATCAGTAATGTGTAGTTACAATTTAACTTGAAGTTTGAACTGAAAGTAGGGAACACGAGCCGATATCCTTGAAACGAA